TTAATAAACTATCAATTAAAATCCAAACACTCTTATCTAACACTAATATACAACTTTCATGGATTAAAGCTAATCAAAACAGACAAGGCAATGAACAAGCAGATGCCCTCGCCAAATTATCCACGACTAATAAACAAAACTATTTCTATCCGTATCCTATTTCTTTTCTTAAGAAACAACTCAAAACATCAAACAATAAAGGCTGGCAAATATATTGGGATAACATTGACAAAGGCCGAAGACTTTATAACATAATTCCCAAAATAAACTACTTTAAATCCATACCTACAAAGAAAGAAATATGGTTCCTTACTGGACATGGTCCGTTTCCTACATATTTCAAATTCCTAAACATAACTGACGCTGATCAATGTACATGCTGTCAACTGGGCACTCCAGAGCACTATCTTACTGAATGTATTTACATTGCCTCTTGGCATACCCGTCTGCCGAATCAATCAAACCTATACAATTGGTAGAAAAACTTCCTAACTAACAAGACAATAAATACTAAACTTAAAAACACAATGAATTTTTTATCCATTAATGATAAATTAATATAATTTTAATGTTAACCTCATTAAGATTATGGACTGCATACTGAAAAAAAAAACTTTAGTCTTACATAAAAAATATATATATACTCATATATTTAAAATATTTATTTTGTCTTACATGATACATTTCATTTATAATGATGCATCACATTTCATTTACATTTTCTTTATTCTTTTTCTTTATATTTCTCTTTTTTAATTTTTATGTATGTAACAAAATTCGTTTCTTTTATTATTCTTGTTCCTTTTACTTCATTTATTGTTTCATTCCTTGTTTTTTCTTTTAAACAAATGTGATGCACTTCATTGTCTTCTGCAAGACTTTCAATGTTGTTTACAAAATTTTATTGTAAAAATTTATATATATGTTATGTAATATGCAAATTTTTTATAATAAATTTCCACTGATCAGGCTAGCTCACCGGTTTATGGCGAGCCGGACTGGTAGCCAGACGTGGACTATACGGGTTTTGCAAACCTAGGTACGTGTCCACGTCTGGAGGGGAAAAAAAGAAAAGACTTCCATAATATACCTGTTCGTATTGGTTTTCTTTGAGTCCAAATATAGTAAAAATTAAGCTGCCTTCATTTAGTTAGAACGCACAGTACATACAATAACTATTATACCTCAAACAAATATGGCTGGGAAGCCACTGACATAATTTTAAAACTCGTAAGGGTGCCGCAACTGACAAAATTTGGGAACCCTTGGCTTATGAGATTTTGAGAGAATGGAGATTTAAAAAGATGAACCAGTTAATCACTGGAGACAAATGGTTATTTAATATAATTAAATCTTATAGTTGTGTCAAGAACTGCATCATGATTCTTTTTTCTCCACTTTTTTTAACATCGTGTTCTCAATATTCCTTTTTTCTTGTTCTTTTCTTTTTTCACGTTCTAAAAGGGTAATTACTGAATGAGGAAAAAGTAACGTGAATCTAAATATTAGATACTCAGAATGGGTCATTTGAAGGTCATTAAAAAAAGTTAAACTAGAAAAAAAAGCTACTTTTTATTTTTCATTTCTCTAACAATAAACAATGTAATTCGTCTATTTTCCGCATTCACTTGATTCTCTCAACAACAGCAGGCATTTGAGTGTAGAAACGACTCAAGTCAAACATTTATGGATACTGGAATCATGCCATCGAAAATAAACTAATTAGGATCAATTGAGGTTAATATGAAACATTCAAAATTACGTTATAAATAATGTGAAACATGTAAAAAAAAAACTGCTATTACTTAAAGCTATAAAATGAATTTAATCACGGATCGCAACTCAGTATGTTAAGTCTGAAGTGGCCATCTGAACACTTGACGCTGCCCAAAAAGATTTGAAAAATAAAACTGAAATCTAATTTAAAAATAAATTTATAAGTGAATTTAAATCGCTCAGCAGCATTCTGACTCAGTAAATCAGGTGTCCTGTCACTGCTTTTACAATTTATGGAACCTTTAATGGTCCCACTCTCTCTCTCTCTCTCTCTTGCTTGATGATTTTGCTTTTCGCTATTTACCCTCTGTTAGAGCTTTTCTGTACGTTTGGATCGACAGCCTGTAAGCTTCTCTTTAATTAATAGTTTGCTTTAGAATGCTTCATAATTTGTTTTAAAATTACAATTTTTGGGAGTATTTAAAGTTTAAAAATATCACACATAAAGTTTAAAAATAACACACGTATGAAATACTTGACTATCTATAACAAAACTGAGTAAAGTTGAGCCTTTCTTTGTATTGATTGCTTAATTCGAAGAGAAAATTGTTTAAATCCATTGCGTTTCATTAATTAGCTATCGTTAAGGTACTTTTTTAATTTTCATTAATTAATATATCAGTTTTTTATCTTTCATATTCTTGATAAAACTTTATTGTTGTACTCTTTTTATTTTTGCTTATTTCGCCGTATCTCGGGAACTTTTTAAGGAAGTCGAAAGGATTTTGTCACTTTATGTCAACGTTCCTGTTGTGATATTTAGTTTTAAACCACTTAAGTGTACGAACTTAATGGACCGTTTAAAATGTCATTCATCGACTATATTTGTTTCTACCCCACGCGTGAATTTATCTGCTTATCGTTACATTGTTGATAATGGCTATGCAAGGTCACTCCTACAAGAGGTCACCATTTTGATTTTCACATTGATTTTGCATTCCAAATAAGAAAAAGATATTTTATCATCCTTAGTAAAGAATGATATTAATTTACTCGTTCTAAAAATTTTTATATCAGCCTTAGACTTTATTCGTTTGGGAAAAAAATGTTTTGACTTATCTGTTTCAAGGTCACTTGCACGCAAGACTGAAAAATAAATGTTAAGAGTTAAGTCTGTAAGCTTTTTGTTTTAAATTAGAAATGAATGTTTCAGAAAGTATGCGCGTGTAAGAAAATGGATTCTGTTTTTTTTTTTTTTTTTCAAACTAGTCATTTATTTAAGAATTAACTAACGAATCTAAATAAATAACGATGTCGTCCATTTCCGTCAATCATTTTCTTCTAATTTAGTAATTATTTAAAAGACTACAAATGTGTTTAAATGATTGCCATGCATCTTATAAATTTATGAAAGTGGTTGTAAATAATTGCAAGTATTTTTTATACATAACTTTTTATTGTTTAGAGATCATGAATACGAAGAGACCATTTGAAATGTTGCCCCCAGAACCTCAAATTCTTATTAGAGAAGTTTAAAAACGGATTCTAACTATATATTTTAAAAGGAACTCTATGCTCATTTTCTTAAATACGCATTTTGAGCTGTATCCGTTTTCATAAATGCAAATTTTCAAACCATTTCCTTAAACACGCATCTTGATCTAAGTGCAAAATAAAAATCTCACAAGCTGCAAAACCCACATGTCATGCCACAAAATTAGTTATTTATTTTCATTCTGACTATTTAGCATTAAAGCACATATTATTAAAGATCCGGACAGAACAGTTTCGATTTCGAAAACATAATCATTTTTTACAGAATGCACAAATATTGATTTAGATAAGGGTAGGTTTTTTTTTAACTTCCTCAATTTTTATCCTCATGGGCCATTTCGTGTTGAGTAGCCTTTTTTTTAAAAATTATTCATTGTTTTCTTCTAATTATTACAGTGTAAAAATTTAAACACTAAAAATGGGAGCACTACTTAACACCAAAGTGGAGCGGTGAAATACTCTTGATTCTTGGGTCTTCAACACACCAAGAACTGGGACTGTTCCTGGTGTAGTGAAACACAAAAATAAATTTTTATACACTACTTGACATAAAGTAGCAGACACCATTTTCAGTTACAGTAAAAATAAAGTTTATAATTTCAGTAAGATATAATGTACACAGTAAAAAAAAATCGTGTATCTAAACATAAAAATGGTGGCAACTACTTTACACCAATGTTCTGTCTTCACAACACAAAGGATAGTTTCCGGTGCAGTGAAACACCTTTCTTTTACAATACTTGGGATAAAGTAGCCACCTCCATAAAAATCAGTAAAGTTACTTTACGATGCAATATAAAGTAAGAATCATGCATTTAGGATGCACATACAAGAGCGCCGGCAGAATAATATAAAGGGGGGTGCAACTTCTAACAAACTACCCTCCCCTCCCCCCGAAAAAAAATTAAAATATTCTGCAATTACATTTTGTTTTGTTATTACATATACTTTCATCTGTTCATTTTTTCTAGATACATTTCTTCATTGTTAGCAAGATATTTAAAAAAAAGTACGAATTTCTTGTACTTACAAATTTTGCCCAGAGGNACAGTTCACAGAGATTTAAAAAATTAAAATATAATTATTTTTATTACTCATCTAAAAACATGCATACATATTTTAACGACGAATTTCTGTTTCTGTTGATGAATAATAGCGTTAGAAATAACAATTGCTCTCGTCAGCTTATTCCTGAGTGTTAAGAAACTGGGTTTCTCTAATTTTTGATACTCAAAACGTGCCAACATTGGTGATTTCGGAAGAGAAAATAGTTCTCGTATGGTGTGAAAGCATGAGATTAGGGTTAAAGATTATTCCATTTTACATGTTTAATTTTAAATTACTATATCCTTTAAATTGTATGTAAATGATCGAGTGGGGGTTAATATGGAATGAAATGTTCCCTTTTACATTTTTTGGGTTGTTTAATATGATAATCGGCGAGATATTGTATCATAGTGTTTGCAGTGAATGGATTAAGAAAAACGTGGCAAAATATTATAAATAGGTGTCTTATTTTATCCAATATAAAATCATCTAATTTCAATAAAATTTCTTTAATAGCTTATTTTGAATACAGATCAGAGCATGTATAATAATACATACATAAATATAAAAGCTTTTATTGATTATACATTATATTGTTTATATTGATAAGCTTAGAAGCAAGTCATTTTTTCAAAACAATCACTCGTTTTTCTCTAACACAATGAAGCATTCCCCCCCCCCCCCNCCCCCCCCCCTATTTTTCTTCGTTTCTTGGGATGGCACAAATATCCAATTTTCCACTCAAAAGAAACTCATAATTTCCAATTTCAGAACCTTCAGGGTAGGTCAATTTAAAATTCTGGATGATTGTAGTCAGAAAAAGAAATATCTGAGACATCGTATAACCTTCTCCAATACATGATCGCCTACCTAAGAAATAAGAGCATGTTTAAATTAGACAAAACTTGAATTTCTGAACTTCGATTATATTAATTTGAAGTAAAAATCAATTAAAATGTGCATAAGTAGTTCGTTTTTTTTCCTACATTAATTGAAGTAAGACTACACAGAGAATTTGAATTCATAACGTTGGTTAAGTAGAACACACTATAGAGCATAACTAACGGTTGCCATCCACTGCGGGACTACTAAATTTAAGAAATGGCTATTAAAAAATTTTCTCTCGGTCGCCAAACGATCACTGCATTTTTCGTAGAAATTTGTATCCCATGTGCATTGTATTATAATTTTTTAAAAAATAAATACGAATTTATTATGAACATTTCATGATATTTATTATGAACATTTCATGATAAAAAATATACGAATTTATTATGAACGAATTTATTATGAACATTTCATGATATATCGTTTTTATTTTATTTAATTTTTAACCGTCGTAGAGCAACTGACTTTATTTCTGAATTTACGGTTATTAATGCTCACCTTCGCAGTCTTGTCATTTTGAATATTGTCATTGAGAAAAGAAAACTCTTGAATCAAGCATCAGGAAAAACTAGCCTTCGTGGAGGACTTTTTGATCGAACTTGCATGCGTTTGTGTTACATGGAGGACAAAACCACGAAAACTTCCATGGTTAGGGCAAAAGAAATCTAACCCATCAAGGAACTCTAACCCCCTTCTCAAAATGGGCATTTATACATTAACATATTTTCTCCGATCATTCACTCCCTGCTGACCCATTCATACTTTTAAATGATCTTCAATAGTCATGAAATGTTTTTCCTTGATCTTATGGTGTATTTCCTGCCCCCCCCCAATTAAGATGTTCTTTAAAATCTGGGCAAACTTCTTCAATAAGTAATGTGGCGCACATGTTTCGGTCCCCTTAAGAGGACGCTATACCGCCGGCGAAACCATTTAAGTCAAATTTTGTCTCACCAATATAAATATTATAAATTTAAAGCTCTGAGAAAAGGGAGTTTAGAACAAACAACAAATTTTAACAGCAAATTTTCAAATGCTATTCTGAAAAAAATTCCAAAATACAAACAAATTATGATAGGATTATTTAGAATTACCTAAACTTTTAAATACCAATGGAGTAGATACAGAATTTTCCATGAAAAATTTCCTACTCGGTATAGAGTCGTTTTAAATATCAACAAAGATGTGATGAATCGATGGGAAGAATCAAGTCCTTACGATTATATTACTCATTCTTAAGATGACTTCACAGCATTCGTTTCAGATCAGACTTTAGACCGATTTTATAAATTATCAACCGAACAGTCTCTACTGAAAGGTGTAATACGACTTTTACATTACTCGCTAACAATGGATTGTATATAATAGTGGTGACAGTAAAATTGGGAAATGCATGCATCTCTTCGGTATCAGTTATAAAGGAATCTTGTGCATTGAATGAGAGCACTTACCAACTCCAAAATTGATGGGAAGATCAGGTCTCTTGCTCTTGTCTTCACACATGAATCGGGATGGATTGAACTTCTCGGGTTCTGGGTAGATCTCTGGATCATTATGGCAGGTCCACATGTTCACAAGAGTCATTGCACCTTTGGGAATCCTGTATCCTCTGATGACAGTCTCCTCTGGAAACAGAAAACTTTAAAATCACCACTATTGTGAAAATGGTGCGATAAATACATCATAAAAACTATGTCCCAAGTCATTACTGCTCACAACATTATGACGAAATCTCACCCTCATTTTGGAGCCGCACATTTTTTTACTGCTAGATTACGGCCAGTTATCGGTAAAATGTGTTTAAGACATAGAACTTGAAAATAAATTATGTGTAAAGCCATACAAGTTACAGGTCTGCCCGTAAATGTTTTCTCATCAAGGCTATTGGCCGTAAATTGACGTAATGCTAGTAAAAATTATGAGTTCGGGACTTGACGCTGTTTGATACTCATGCAGTTTGTTTGTTGAAACGAGGAAAACAGTGGAGGGAGACAAAATAGCACAAGTGTTGCCATCGAGTAAGAGAGTTGCTTGTTCATTATCCATGGTTACAATAGGGATTTACAAGATAGATGGTATTTGGCAACGGGCCCGGGACTTTTATGTCAGTAGACTAATTTTGCAACAACCACCATGGAAAAGGATGCACACTTTCGAATTAAATTAAAAAGCTGAGCAAAACAACCGTATTTATAGGTCAACTCCATTGAAGTTCGTTGCAATTAAGGGCACAGTTTTTTTTCTTTTGTCAAAGACGGAAGCTGGCAGTTCTTTACAATCACGGGTACTGGAATTTTCTTGTCTCAAAAATCGAAGTTTGTCTTGTAAACTCTTCAAATTGTACGGATATTTCTTAGAGTGTAGGCGATTTTTTCACAAAAGAAAAAAAAACTGTATTGATAAATTACAGAATATTACTGTATTGATAAACTGCAGAATTACTTACGAAATTACATATACTATCCATTTGAAATATGAGTTCTGAATCTCTTAATTCGATATCTGTGACTGCATTTATAATACAGCATGCTAAAATCACGCAAGAACTACTACAATTAGAATTCACTTCTTAATAACAAATATAAACTAAGTAAAATTTTGTTGTTGGAATTTTTGATGAAGAATGACTGAAAAAGTGCTGTAAGTTTAAAATGTGTAGTAGCATAATATCAAAACATTTAGGAATTCTGATGTATAAAAGCGTTAAATAATGCACTTATAATAAGAGTTTTGAACAGTTTATGAACTTGACTTCGATTATATTTCTTTCACTCAAGAATTATCTAATTTATTTCTTAATTTCAAAATATGTAATTGGAATTTTTAGCCAACACCAGGAGGAAATGTGAATTATTGTTTAGTATTGCGAAGTTTTTTGTATGGAACATTTAAAAACATTTGAGATTTATTTTAGAAAAATACTTACTGGTGCATTGCTGGCCAGGCACTACAGAGAAGATTTCAAAAGTACGCAGTATTTCGTGCATGTAGGCTGTAGTATATGGGAGTTTACTTTTATCTTCAATAGTCGGAGCTCTTCCCCTTCCCACGACCTCCACTATTTCGGCATAGATTTTATCCTGATGGTCCTGGTGGTCCACTACATGCTTCATGAAAATTGCAATAAACAGAGCTACGCTAAGGACTCCGTCACTCACAAACTGAATCAGGGTACCAACCAAAGCCTTATCTGAAAATGCATAAATGCATCTGTGTATAGTGAAAAATATAGAAAATATTAAGCATATCATTTGAGATTATTCATTGTACATAAAAAAGAAAATTAGGAAAAATTGAGGATAAAAGTATTCTAAAATGGTCACTATGCTTAAATGTTTATAAAAAGCCTCTCTTGCCCATTTTCCCGACGTGTTGCCATGGATCGCCACCAAGCCTACCTTTTGAATCCTCCTTTTCCTTCGCTGAGAGGTCAACGTAAGCGCACTTAGAGTCTACGGTATTCTCCGGATGCCCCCCAACGGAGGCGGGGCGGGGTTAAGTTTTGATATGTTTATAAAAATGGTGATTTTGCATTGAAAAATATTGCATACTGGAAAGCATCGTAATTGGTCAGTGCCTAAACCATAAGCGCTATTTTAGTTGCGTCCTCGTGCGGTGATTGATGAAAATACTCAGAGTACAATGAGAAAATGTGACGAAATGTTGCATTGTAAGTATTAATATGAGAATTAAAAATAGAAACTATTTACAGTCCATTTTTGTGTGCTTCATTTATTAAGAGAGAACAGTAAACAACAACAGAAAAGCAAAAAGCTATGCAAAAATGAGTACCAACAATAAACATCGATTCATTTTTTTAAGGATTTGTGAAATAAAAGCGATAAAACAATTTTTTCTGAGAATATAAATTAATTTTCTGTAGCACTATTAAGAAAAATCATTACCGGTGAAGTATTTTGCTGTTGGATCCCCTTTGCAATGCCTGTCGTTCCTTTCTTTGAGGTAAGCGTCAATAAAATTTTTTGGATGCTCATCTTTATTGAACATGGATTTGTGTTCGTTGACGACGCTCTCCAATGTTCTCTTTATGATTTTGTAATTCTTCATCGCTGTCCAATATCCAGGTTTAAGAGGGAAAATAAACCTAAGAACGAAGACACAATTTAACATAAATCCGTGACACACAAATTCCCAAAGCATAGTTTGTTAAGGGCCAGTTATAGCATTCTCAAAAGTGGCCAATATTTGTTTAAAATTAATAATAATAAAATGTAAACGGGGTGCATTTTCCAGAAGGAGAAAAAATGGCCACTAGGTGACACTCAGCAGACGCTTAATCACCTGGTGGGAACAGTTCATGTTCCCCTATAACGATGTACAATGAGCCAAAAAGAAAAGGAAAAAAACCGACCACCCTGAATAACTTTTGATCTAATGATCGGATCTTCACGTTCTAGGACTCATTGTGAATGGTTCGAGGGGGAAACCTCAAATATGCTAATTAGTTAATGCAAATGATATTTTAAGTTACAAAGTCAGTCGCAAAAACGAACTTTCTCTGAATAAACATACCTCTTTTTAAACGGATTTCTTACTCTCGAAACATAGGGTCTCCATAGTGTGGTCAGAATAGTGATCCAAAGTTTACCTTAATTTTACTTTTTGCGTAATTCACCATATCTCGGGAACTTTTGAATCGAATAGAAATTTTTGCATACAGTTATAAAGTTTGTTTATTCAAAGATAATTCCATGCAAAAATTTAATTTTAGTAAATATTTATTATTTTTTATTAAATAAATAGTCGAAAAAAGTTTCAATTGAAAGGTATAAAATTTTTTACATCATTTTAAAGTAGGCGATTTTACATGGCAAAATACAAAATTTGAGTGAAATCGGCTAAATAGTTCCTCAGAAATTGAATTGAAATTATATTATTTTTAAATATCTGACTTTTCTGAAATGCATTTTTTTAGGAACTATTCGACCAATTTTGCTCACATTTTGTAGTTTGCCTTACAAAATTATATTCCTTAAAATGATGCAGAAAATTGTATATCTTAAAAATCAAAATTTTTTGATCATTATTAAATAAAATATTTGAAAATAATACATATTTACTAAAAGTTGTGTTTTTTCATTGAATTACGTTTGAATAAACAAGTCTTATAATTATGTGCGAAAAATTTTCAGTTCGCTTAAAAAATTCTCAAGATATTACGAAATATACAAAAAGTAAAATTAACACTAAGGGATCCAAACTTAAAAGCGCTCTCCTGACAGATTGCGGCTACCTTCTAATGTCAACAGAAATCTTCCTCGTGCTTTGAACTATCTGTATGCTAAGTTTCACAGCTTTCTGTCGGATAGTTTAGGAGTCTATAGAGGACAAACAAACACACATTCACTTTTATATATAAGGTTATTGTTTAGTTATACAATTTCAGTGATTTTAGAAAATTAACATTTATTTAAAAAGATATGATTTTCTCGGTTTGTACAGATTTTCCCGAATTGGATTTGCACATGGTAAAAATATAAATTTAGATAAAAAGGAAGTTTTTGGTAATTTTATTAGTAACAATAACACACAATTAACTCAACGATTTTATATAGAATTTAATTACATTAGTTCAGTATTCATTGCTTTTTTTTTTATCAAATTCATCTATTAATTGTATTCATTTCAATCAAATTAATAGAATTAAAAGAATATGTAGCAATGTTTATTTATCCAAACAATAAAAAAACAAACTATTTCAAAATTTGATATTGCCATTAAATGTTCATTATGTTGTTGTATAGAGCCTACGTTATTTCGGTTACACAACCTGATTTTAAATGGGTTATCGCTGTTACTTGTTTGAAATCGTATTATCTCCACTGAGATGTAATGGTTACTTCGATAATTTAAAGCTATGTCATAATTCAGAACACAGTAAGTGGTGTCGTGACTTTGAGAAGAAAAATTCTTTAGTGTGACTGATATAAGAGTAATGTTAGTATATTTTGTATAGCTTTTGGGGGAGTTCATAGTAGTTTATTATACCTTTATGTTTAATAATATATGTTCGAGTTATTATTATTATATGGGATGCTATATAGGAATTTAGGTAGTGAATAGTTCTTGTTTAAAGTAGCTAAAACGGATAATGAAAACTTTGACGAGGATGCACTTTATTATACCATTTGAATTTAATTTCCATAATTTTTTTTAACAACTCAGGAATGCAAGAATTGTTATGAACAGAGAAATATAATTTTTTTGTTGTTGTTAAGAACAGAGTAACTACTGCTAAAGAGGTTTGATGATACTTTAGTTGTGGATAGCACTTTTGAGAGTGTTTAAAGACTCCAATAATAAATAGATTTTCAATGGCAGTAGATCAGGGGCAAACTTGTCAAAACGTTTTGGATTTTAAACAGTCTACAACAATGCCAGTTATCTTATATTTATTTCAAAGGCTGCGTATGTTTGTTTCAAAGAGAAGTTGAGAGAAATCTATGCTTTTTTCCAATTTCCGTCCTGAAATCAAAAAGGGTGTAATGGCTTAATCCTACGTCACTGAGAAAACTTACGCACTTTGTTCTATTTTTAAAAAAAAAATAGAAATCCTTTGCAGGTCTCAAATTTGGAGTGATCGATAAAGAGGTGTGTACGACTGTACCGCAGAGAGTTGTTGGAGTCAAATGTTTTAGTTTAGCAGGCAGTTATTGTCTCGGCAAATTGGGAGTTAGAAAGTAAATAGACCACGAAATCGAGCAAAATGTTGAGAAGAGGCAGGATATATTTTTTAGAAACTTGCAATATCGACAGAACTTGCTATTTATAATAGACTCACTGAACCATTAAAATTGCATCTTAAAGCATGAAAATCCAATCATTAGATCAAAATAATTCTATTTCGATGAGTATTGCTACAAAGAAAATCTTTTCTTTTCAATTTTTTAGGTAAAAAATGGTAGCAATTCATCTTTGAACCAAGTGGTTTTTTGTGGATAGCGTTAAAAAAAAGTAACAGAGCTATGTGATTCAAAACCTAGAATTTTAGATTATTATTTGTTACTATAACTTGGAATCTTGGAATCTCTCACAAGAGGACACGCTGCGGAGTTTAGAAAAAATTAACAAGTGTTATGAAGAGGTCTACACTATTGTGCCACAAAAAAAGCCCATCATGATAAATTCTTTTGCACCAAAATTTCATAACCGTCTTTGAATAGCCGACCCAATTTTTTGAGTTTACGACTACTAATGTTCACCTCCATAGCATTGTAATTTGGAATCCAATTCAAGAGACAAGGGAACTTCTGGATCAAGTATTGGAAGAAATTCGTCTTCATGGAGCACTTTTTGAGGGAACTAATAAGCATTTACGTTACATGGAGAGGAAAACCGCGAAACCCTCCCACGGTTAGCCTGACGGAGAAGGGACTTTAACCCATGATCCGTCTACCACTGAGAATATTTTTCGTCTGCACAAGAGTCGGTGCTAGCCAGGCGCGGAATTCGAATCGACCAGAGATTCGAACTGGGGCACCTCATTGGGAGGCGAGCGCTCTATCATCTAAGCCAGTGTTCCCCAACCTTTTTATCACCGCGGACCTGTCAACGTTTGATAATTTTACCGCGGCCCGCTGTTTATATTGTAGATTATTTTGCATTATTAATGTAATTTAATTGTATTTAATCAAGCCTTCAAAACAAAATACAGTTATACCAAAAAATAAGTATAAAGTGATTTAACATTTTTACTTACTAGAACGTTAAATCAATTAGAACCCTGAGCTTGCTTCTTTGCAATGAAACGGTTCCATCTGGGAGTAATCGGAGACAATGATATATTGCAAACATGCCACTACCTTCGGGGACTACTTTTTTTCAAAAATGAGCGAAATTTTAATAGAACACAGATAATTTGGGGTATAGAACCTAGGAATTCAGTTTCAATGAAATGGGCGTACCATTTGATTCAGGGACGCTGATCTGAGCCACCACGTGTGTGTGTTGCAATATCTCTTCGAATTCGTAAATGAAAAACTGTTTAAAGAAATACTTTATTTCAAGTGAACGCCAAGCAGAGCATTCGTATACAATTTAAGGGTTGTAGTTAAATCTAAACACCTAAACTTGTAAAAAGATTAGATCCATCGCATTCGCATAATAAAAGAGTTATTTTAATTTCCAAAAAGAGCAACGTTGGCACACTTTAAATGGTAGTTGTTTACTTTACTGGTAGTTGTTTACATCGAGATAAGGGCTGTTGTTAGTTTATTGTTTTATTCCACCCCACAATACAATATCCACTTTATTTTTACCTTTAAAATATGTATGTTTATTTTAAATTAAATAATAATAATAATTATATTTTAATTATTAAACTTCTGTAAACTGCATTAAATAATTTCATAATATTTGATTTCTATCGGTTCGGTTCTGCTAACCCTAGTTCGAATTCATATTAATATTTTTTCTTTGTTGCGTGCACGTTAAATTAACAAACTAATTTTGTTTTAAGAAAAGCATCCTAAATTAATGAGTCTTGCTTTATATTGTATCGTAAAAATAACTTTTACAATGTGTGCCATATCTTACTGTAATTATAAATTTACTGAATCACAAACGTGGCTACTTTATACCAAGTAGTGTAAAAAAGAACATTCTAGGTGTTTCTCGACACCAGGAACTATCCTTGTTTCTTGGTGTAGTGCAACACCACTTTTGTGTAAAGTAGTTGCCACCATTCTTGGTGTTAAGACACACGAAAAGGTTTTATATTATATTGCATCAATGTTACTGCGAATGACAAAAATGGGTGGTTGCTGACTTCCATCGGTGAATGTTGACAATCACATAGTCGCTTTGGAAAATATCGCAAATTTATACTAGGTCAAGTTAAGGGCCAATGTCCGGTATACATTTGCCCGGTATGCCCTACATCAATGATTATTTATGATCAAGTGCCACTGCCCAGTATGTATTTAACCGGTACTCCGAACACTGATGTTTCTCCTAATCTGTCTTCAGCAGATACTAAAATATCGAAAAAATATTATAACATCAACGAATAAATTAACATCCAATCGAATCATACAAATATTTAGGACATTCACCAAGGCGACTCTGTGATGGTTGACATTCACCGGTCGACATTCTATTTGATTTCGGTCATTCAAGCTGACCTATACACAATTTCGGAAAAAGTGAGTTCATGTAAATCTAGAAAATGTTGAAATTGTTTTTCAAATAATTTGTTTGCATTTTGATGTTTTGAAAACACTTTTTCAGCGTTTGAAACTTTATGATTTACTTCTATAGGTTTGCTTCAACTCACTTTTCATACCAAATTTCAATAACTTAAAATGGAGTTACCTTGTAAGAAATCCATTGTAGAAAAAGTTGGTGATTGACATGAATGCAACAATGTGAGCGTACGCTTCGTTTATTTCTTTCACCTGCTCTTCTGTGATTCCAGATTGGCCAAACATGGTGGAGCGGAGTATCGCGTTGCATTTGTTGGTCAGGTGCTGCACCATTTCCACTGATTCACCCTTCTTTGCCTTCAAGAAGCCGATGGTCTCCTGGATGGAATCGTATAAAGGTTCACTCATGTTGTCCTTAACGGTGGTCATTCCGTACTCCCTCAGTTGTTGCAACGCGAACTTCCTCATGACTTTCCATGGTTCACCATTGGCAACACTGACGCCTGTTGGAGAGCATTTGAAGGTTTAATGAGTCCATACATTCTAATCGATTCCTCAAAAGCTAAATTGAAATCAACTGTAAAATTTTGAGAGTAACTTTTAACGGCGAAATGAAATATCAAATTGAAAAGGTTATTCGTGAAACAATAATAAATATATTCAGCCACACTTTCAACGGCTCCTTTTAATGCATTTTTTTTAAAAATATTTTTATGGTATTAGATAGCATTTGTCTTATGTTAACGCTAATTTTATTTTCTCTACCGGTGATTTGTAGAGAAATTTTCTGTGAAGCTCAAATAGAGTAAGGGAGAACGGTTATATAAAATCTCTCAATGCTTCAAATGAAAAGATATATTTTGTTTTCATTACGTTGTCCAGTTTCTCAGTTGAGCTGTAATTTTCATGTATGCACAGTTCTTGGAAACCACATCAGGCAACTCAAGATAGATATAAGAGTATAATCGGCGATTTAAGAAGGAAGAGAAAATCTGATATTTTGTTCATATATATGTCATAGGGTATAATACATTGTGGAAAGGTTGGGACTATTTTACATCTTCTCATACCTCATAAATGAAGTTTAAATTTTTAATTTTTCCTTGAATAAAGTTCAATAAAATATACCACAATTATACACATACCCTCATAAGAGGGCACCCATTTTTGACTAATCAGGACAAAAATTTCCAAAAAATAAATAATTAAACCACAAT